ACCACCACCACCGCCACCACGACTACACCTACTACTACTACTACTACTACTACTACTACTACTACTACTAGTACTAGTACTAGTACTAGTACTAGTACTAGTACTAGTACTAGTAGTAGTACTACTACTACTACTACTACTACTACTAGTACTACTACTACTACTACTACTACTACTACTCCTGCTCCTCCTGCTGCTGCTGCTACTCTACTGCTGCTGTTCTCACTAGTACTCACTAGTACTTGCGCTAGCACTGCAACTACGATGACAGTAGCTCTGCTGCTTGCGCGGGCTACCAGGCTACCACCGCCAATACGATGACCAATGCCTCACTAGGGAGGCTTGGCTCTGGGGTGTATGGGCGGTTTTACATTGTCCGACCGCCACTTCTTGTCAAAGCTCCGTGGATTCCCGCTGAAGCATTTGTGAGACTATTACTAAGACTTGTGGTGTGCACAAGCCCCTCGGTGGTGAAGGACCCTGCCGCAAATAGAGCAATGCTAACGGCGGTGCCTACTTCATATGCTTCTGCCACTCCTACTACCAACACCCCAATGCGGTGGCGAAGATTTCCAAGCATTGTGCTACTGCTACATATGGCACGGAACTTGGGATTCAAACCCCAGGCGCAAACGCACGACAAAATCACTGAAGGCAGAGGTTTTGGCTTTTCCAGCGGAACATGCGAGTTGGAACAGCACAAAAACCTAATTTGCATCGGTGGCTCGGGCAGAACGGGAAGGAGGTTGTTTAAACAGCTGCTGCATGTGTTTTCTGAATGGGCAGCTCACTACCCAAACCAAGCTCGTCTGGGCAATAGCAAGAACAAGCAGGCGATAGAAGTACAAGCTGGGTGTGCCTAAGCAGCACAGGATACTACAAGGCTGCGGCCACAGAAATTTGGCGACGGAATAAGGCAGCGCTATGAGTACTACAGCCACGAAGCTGCTGATGACAGAGGCCAAGAGGATGAAACATTCATCGCAATTAGAAGTCACGATCGTTGTGCGCATGAGCCTGGCGACAAAGTTAGTTCTAGGCACGAACTAGACACAATGCTAGGCTCAATGCTAGCATGTCACTGCTGTCGTCATCATGACCATATGGACCTTGAGACAGTGTGCTGGCAACAGCTACATAACATTGGTGGCACAAAATGGAAACTAGTGAAGCTTTCACTTATACGGTGATAGAAGTATTGAAGACAATGGATCACAAGACGATTTAGAACAGTGCGTACTGGTATCCTTGCAGGACGGCATGCACTGTCAGTTGTGGGCAATCCACAAGTAGTACGGCACCCTCATTAACAGAAACCCTAAAAGGGACCCTAACTCAGAGAACCACGAGGTTTTTCTCTGTCTGCTCTTTGGGCTGGAATGGTGGGGATGGAAACTGTGGGCGACGGCCAAAAACCCCACCATGCCTTCAAGGCTATGAAACTGCTGTTCAAAGGGTCCAAGTACCAGGATAGCAACTACTTTCCGGGCCCAATTATCGACGAATAACCTGGGATGTTGGGAATTACTTGGACCCTTTGGGCTTGTGACAAAGTCTGAGTAGGTGCAAACTGTGAGGACGTCTTGTGCGTTGGGCCGGTGTGATGAAACCGAAGCCGGGCACAATGTGCTTTCACTGGAATCACAAAACTCCGGTGTTTCGACCAGATGTGACAATGCTCACGAACCATGGCTGAACTCAGCTACTCAATAAACACAAGAATGTTTTGGGGCACCCTACACTATAAATATCTTAAGAAACCCTAGTGAAGAATACGTATAATACGGAACCCTAAATCCCACACCCTAGACTGGCTACCTATTCAGGGTTTAGGGTTTAGGGTTTATTATTCAGCCTTCATTAGTATCGTGCGCCTCCAGTGACTCCTGGGCAAGTCTGTCGAGTCGAAGCTGCAGCTGGATCCAAGCCTCTCTTCTTCAATAATTGAGCCCAGAACAGCTCCAACTTTCTAGTATAGTATATACCATAGATGTATACAGTACTATAGACCAAGTGTATGTATATATATATGTATATGTATATGTATATGTATATGTATATGTATATGTATATGTATATGTATATGTATATGTATATGTATATGTATATGTATATGTATGTATGTACGTATGTGCATATAATAATAATAACAATAATAAGAATAATAAGGTCAAAAAGTTCTGCCATTGGCTATCAAAGAAGCACGAGCATCCTCCAGATTCTCGCCTAGGTACTTCCGCTGACGAGCGAAACGCACCCACGGGTAAGCGGCCTGGGTTTAGGGTTCAGGGTTTAGGGTAACCCCAGAATGCCCAAAACTCCCTGATTGAAGGAAACCCTAAACCCTAGACCCCTAACCTGCGATTTAAGCTGCAGGCCTGCCTTCAGTGGCGTTACCCTAAACTCCATACTCCGATAGGCTCCATAGGCTTCTTGGTGAGCAGCTGGCGGTTAAGGCTATGGGGTTAAGGGTTTGAGACTCGAGGATGGGAGCTGATGGTTGTTTGGGCGTGAAGTAGAAGTAGTAGTAGTAGTAGTAGTAGTACTACTACTACTACTACTACTAATAGTACTAGTAGTAGTAGTCGTAGCAGTAGGGCTTTTCGGGTTTGGGGTTTTGGGTATAGCGTTTAGGGATTTTCAGCTAAGAGTTTGGCCACGAAGAGTTCAAGGTGTCTTGGAAAACTCACCGAGTTCACGGCACCTCCAAGTCCTTCCAGGAGGTCTCCATCTCATCCTTGCTGCCAGCCGGGGTGGAACTTGCGCACCGTTCGTTGAGCTGCTGCAGCGCCTGAAAGGATTCTGGCGAGACTGGAAGCTCGGGGATTTGAGATCCTCATGGGTTTTGAATGGCTTAGTTTAGGGTTTAATTAGGGTTTAGAACTGCGACTGACGGTTACCGCCCTGCTCAGGAACTTGCACCCGAACCACTGAGGCAAAATCTCCCCACATTGCTGAACATACAGGTTTAAAATATTTAGCAGGCTGTGCTACCACCCCTTAACCCCGCCAGAACCATAAACCCTAGTCTCAAGCTTTAAACCCCTAAACCCTAAACCGCCTTCACTCCCAGAGCGGCAAGCGGGATCAGAGCGAAGATCGCCAGGGCTCCGAGCATGATTCCGAAGGACTCTCTCAAGCAGCCAGTCCTGACAGTTAGCTACTCACACTCAGGTGGATCACCTTCATTTGAGCCGCATGGCATCACGGTTTAGGGTTTAGGGTTTAGGGTAGATAACCTTCATTTGAGCCGCATGGGCATTGCAAGGAAACTATTCGCAGCTTCTCCTTAGATGCCAAGGCACAACCCCAGCTACTGGAGCGACTGTGATATTGAACCTGAGTTGAAGAGGATTAGTGCTGAGATTGCTCGATGTACCCTTTGCAAAAAAAGGGAATGAGGACAAAACGCCTTCACTCCCAGACCCCCAAAAGCCCGAGTTTCTCAAGAAAGCCCTTCGACCCTACAGCAAAGAAAAGGGAACCCTTAGGGTTTAGGGTTTAGGGTTAGGGAAAAGGGAACCCTGCCAGTAAGCCCTGTAGCCCTGCAAAAAGAAGCCCTCAACTTCAAGGCCACTCTCTCAGCGCTTGACGCTGAGGCATTCAATCTGGAGAATTTCGAAGTCACAACGCCTTGGACTCTCATCTTAAACCCTAAACCCTAAATCCTGAACCCTAAACCCTAGTTCTAAACCCTAAATCCTGAACTCTACACCCTAAACCCTAAACCAGGTATTTCGGCTGAGGCTATAGGAATGCAGGGCTCCTTCAGGATATGAAGGCTTGAGCGCTTCCAGGGTTGTTGGCTTCAGGGGCTGAGCTTTCGGCCTTAGGGTTCTGGGTTTAGGGTTTATGGGGTTATAGGGTTTAGGGAGGGTTTAGGGTTTACAGGGTTTATAGGGTTTAGGGAGGATAGGGTTTACAGGGTTCATAGAGTTTAGGGAGGGTTTAGGGTTTATAGGGTTATAGGAGGGTTTAGGGTTTAGAGGGTTTATAGGGGTTTGGGAGGGGTTTAGGGTTTATAGGGTTTATAGGGTGAAGGGTTTATTTATAGGGTTTATAGGGTTTAGGGAGGGGTTAGGGTTTACAGGGTTTAGGGTTGAGGGAGATGCCTGTGCAAGGTCTGAACTGCTCATATAGTAATGTAGCGACCCGAGGAGTTAGAACAATTATTCGTTTGTTGAGGGGAGGGGGATATTTCATAGCATTAATGCCACAAGGATCTCTCAGGAAACATACTACCAATTATTCAGCCTAGGCCCTAAACCCCTAAACCCCAAACCCCTAAACCCTAAACCCGAAACCGTAAACACCCTGGTATTCAGGTCATAGCCCTTAAAGCAGGATAAGAAGCCCCACAGAGTTCGAGATCGATCCCCTCGATCCCTTCTTTTAGCGGAACGGGGCTCTCTGGGTTTAGGGCTTACAGGGTTTAGGTTAGGGTTTTGGGTTTAGGGTTTAGGGTTTAGGGTTTTTATAAGGAAACCTCAGCCCTTAAATCTCAAACTCAAAAGACTCCGAAGCATTGAGCTGCTCTCGCTTTGCTGCTCAAGGGGTGCGTGAAGTTGGGACCATGTACTCAAGGTCCCAAAGGCATCGAGGGTGCCGACGGATCCAGCGAGCCCCAAGGCCGTTAACGAATAAAAGTCATTCCCTAAATCAGGGTTCCAGCGAGCCCCATGCCCCTTAAAGAATTAAAATCATTCCCTAAATCAATGTAAGAAGCCTTTGCGATCTGTTGGAAGAAATAGTTTTCGGACCAGTAGTGGTGGTATTTGCACCATTGCCCTCGCCGCTTCTCTTGGTGCACGCAAACAAGATCCACCAGCGGTCCTTCGCCGTACCGAAAAACCGGTTCCATCGACAACTCACGCGACCGCCTCGGGTCGCTAGCCCTAAGGGTCCATGTACCCAAACAGTATATACATTGGCCCCAAAGTACTTAAAAAGGGACTACTTTGAGGCCAAAGAAAATCTATTTGGGTACATGGACCCTTAGAGTAGTGAATTTCCAGGCATCTGGGCCTTGCCCGGAAACGGAGGGAGGCCCTCGGGAACTGAATTGCTCTTTCCCCTACGACGCTCTGGGGAGCTGTCGATCACCACAAAGACCTCCTCTGCATAAGGCGCAATGGGCAAGTGCTCAACAACCTCTTGGTGTTTCGCCGTTTGCGCATCAAAGCTCAGACACTGAACTACAGTCGTGATGCTTTAGGGTAGCCCTTTGTTTCCCACGTCTTGCCATGCGCGAGCAGAAAACGCGATCGCAAGCCAAAGTTCAACAAAGATTCAATCGGCCTCTCTGATCATGGGCATATCTTGCAGAGAATGCGCGATGATTAGAAGACAGTTTGGGACCGGGGGGTATGTGATACTACCAGTATATTGGAGACAACAATGCTGAAACTACTACTAGGTTGGCCAGGTTGGCTCTCGAAAGCCTTTGAAGAATATTCGTCTGCAACATCCTCTTAGGCAAAATAACGGAAAATGTGAAATGCCCCAAAGGTCAAACCATATAAACTGCCAGTTATTCAGGCGTGCAGACCCCTACAGTACCAACCGGCTTCAGCGCCTAATCCGAAGACCAATGGGTCCGAGGTACAAGACGGCTTGCTTGATGCTGGCGATGGCCTGGGTCTTGAATCAGAGACTTGCACAGACTTGCTTCTCCAGTGTTTCAGGGGAACGAAAGGTTGACTTGTGGGATTTTATAGCACTTAGCTATAGCACCCCAAAAAGTTAACAATTCTACTACTATGGAGATACAGTAATCGCACAGTGGCAATACTTAGCATCTTCAGCCCAAGTGTCATACTACACAATGACGAACCCGAAATCTGGCTAAGTACTGTTCATGAGCCCGTGTGAGCCTCATGATAGCACCGCCACAACTGTTGCAGCGGTGGTGTCTGCCGGCTCTTCCCGTGGACGCTGTTGGGGGCTCGTCGAAGAAGAATGATACACGCTGTAGCGTGAGGCTCTACGTATTTAGTGGATAGCTACCTCTATAAGACCATACGGGAAGCAACTCTGGGAAACGCCAAACTATCCAAAATCGACAGTAGACTTGCGGTTTGGGACGGAGTATCTTGAACATACCAGCTTGGAAAACAAGTGATTACTGATTCATCGCATGCAGTATCATGCAATGGGCAGTGACCCCAAGTCACTTCTCAGAAGCACGCATCTCAAACGAGCAACCTCAAGACACTCCCCAAGCAGCAGAGGAAACTATAACTCCCATAACTGCAAGAACCCCTTAAACCTGAACCCTAAACGGCCCCAAACCTTGCAAGCATTGGCAGAGTTGCTGGTCTTTCTCTATTACCACTCTGAGGATCGAGCCTCCCATCGACTGATCTCCTGTTCACGACACGCTTGCGGTTTGGTGCTTCGTGTCTAGGGACTTGTAAGGTTAGACTATAGGATTGAGTGGTCAGAGTTTCGGCCAGTGTAGGCTCCAAGGCTTCAGGATATGAGATGGGGTTTAGGACTTAATTAAGACTACTGGCATCACACTCTAAACCCTAGGCCGTAAACCCTAGGTTAAGTGGCTTTGCAAGGGCTCCACACGTGTATTCAGCGTTTAGGGCTTGCCGGTTTTGGAGTTCGGAGTTTAGGGGCTACTGTTAATGATTTCTGAGTCTCATGTTAGGCAGAGGTTGTAGGATCTATGCTTTCGGTGCTTAGGCTTTGGTGGTATCCGGGATCTAAATTATACCATCAGCCTTAGCTTCCCCATATCTAAACCCTGGCTAGCTGACGAGCCCTGTATTATAGACTCGGATAGCCACGTTTGGGGTTTGGAGTTTCAGGTCATGGGCTTCGGGTTTTGGGCTTCCGGGTCATGGCACCATGGTAAGCAAGGCGTGAACACGGATATGATGGGGAGCATGTTTAGGGTTTAGGGGTTTAGGGTTTAGGGTTTAGGGTTTAGGGTTTAGGGAACATGGGTGATGGTGGTGCTGCCGAAAAGCCGCATACTGCACATCGTAGAATGTAGTTCGTAGCCCCATCGCCGTGACAGTCGGGGTGTAGTAATTGCAATTTGCATCGCCAGCGCTACCATATTTCCTTCGATGATGACAATCACCCTGCAGCGAAACCGATTCATCCTCGACGCAGTAAGCTGTAACCGTAAACCCCTGTAAACCCCAAGAAACCTTGACCCCATTCACCTGCTGCCCGCCTCCCGCTGCATCCGATGCTTGCGCAAGTGGTGCTCGTGCCGCTTGAGAGTAATCCCAAGCATCTGCAGCTTCTTCCTTAGTTGCTCTGGGGATTTAGGTCCGGGCTTCACGGGGTTTCAGCTATCAGGTGCGCATTTGAAGGTTCTTTGTGGACTCATCGAGTTTACAGGTCTGAAAAATGAGATGTGCCGGGTTTCAAAAGTCTTCCACGGGATTCAGAACTGATGCAAGCCCAGTTTCAGGGTTGACGGCTTGTGTTAAGAGGTCGGGTATGCGGCTTTCAGGGCTTCGGGTTTAAAACAATAGAAGCGAATGGACCACTGTTACACTGACAGAGCCGTAATATATGGTAGACTCGGTCATCCTACGGACATGCACAGGCAGCAGTGAAGTTCGGCTACAGACCTGCGCTCCCGAAACCTTCCACCATTCCGTTGCAAACGCTTACTTAGATCCTAGAGCACAGCAAATCGACACCACCATAACAGCTTTGTCGTATTGCATAGACTAAGACCCTAAATTCAGCTATTGTACTATCTAATATCTATAAGATTTCTGTTTATTCAGGAGGTGCACCAACACCAGCGGAACTGTGCTGTACGGTGCTAAACACACTTCTGCCGCAGGCAGTACGAACTGAACAGCAAAGACAAGATACAACTACTTACAGCTTGGCAAATGCTGCGCTATACTGTGCTATACTGTACTGCACTCAACTGTTCTGTACTGTAGCGTAGTATACTACATTATAAGATACTAAATGAGTAGAACCTAGAAGGGCAGCTTAAACAAAGATGGCTGCTGCTATTCCCAAACCAACTATAAAGCCTGACGATGAACAGGGTCAGCCAAACTTGCGTTAAGGATCACGGTCACGATCATGGTCAAATGCGATATCAGTTCTTGTCGCTGTGCTAATCTCCTCCAGTTCCCCTAGAAGAAGCCTTAGCCAGACCTCAAAGGAAGGAACTCTTATGACCAAGAGCGTCCATATGTACTACTATTATGGAACTAGGTCCCCAGAGCCACAACAGCGATGGTCTATTTGGGGCCTAAATTGCAGAATGATAGTGTATATGGACCCCCTGGGTGCAACCCTGCCCTGAGACTCCGAAATCCCCGGCCGGTTTACCCGACGGTAGGTGCCAAGAGGCTCATCCAAGATGGAGGCCTCCATTCTCGGAGTTTTATACGTCTGCTACTCTTAGATGAGGGGTTCGCCACTTCGGGAAACTTGGTGCTTCTCGTCTCATGGCGTACCATCGTTTTGTTTTGCACAGACCCGCCCTTGCTAGTCATGGATGGGTGTACAGTTCAGATTCCGGATCGCACCCTTAAATAGAGCCCTTGGCGAGCTCCTGCGCCGAACTCTTGCAAGAGTCATTCCGAAACGACAGTTTGGCTGCAGGCTCACGGATTCGGGCCACACAGGACGGTAGTTGTACAACCGCAAACCCTAAACCCTCCAGTCTAAACCCTCCAAGCCCTAAAACGACTTGCAGGTGTTGGGCCACTGGCCTCGACAATACCCACCCGCCCCTTTATATTTTACCGGGCCTCCTCGTGCGAGTTCACGACCGACGTCCAAATTCACTCTAGCTAGCGTAATGACCTGACATCTAAAGTAATAGCTCATACTGTATGGCTCACGAGACTCATACTCTAGATATCAAGCTTAAACCCTAAACTAGGCCCCAAGCTGCAAACATGGATCTGGCTCGGGCACCTTCCCCGCCAGCTCTTCGCTGTTCGGGCCGTCGCAAGCCCTCGGAAAGAACGGTCGGAATGCAGCTGCAAAACCCCAAACTCATTAAACCATAAACCCTAAACTTATAAAACCCTAAACCCTAAACTTACTCAACCCTAAACCCTAGCCCTAAAGTTCAGCATTGGTTCGTGAAGGATTTAAGGTTTCGGTGTTGGGGGCTCGCGTCCAGGATGCAGCTTTTGCAGGAACGGATTCGGGGCTCAGTTTCGCAAAGGAATCCTCCAACTCTCGCCCCCCCAAGTCGACATCCAATATCCTGCTAAGGAATATATACCTGAAGCTAGTGTAGGATCCCGAATATGATTTCAAACCATGTTCCTTCATTGAAGGATTTTGGGAGGTCTGGGTATCTGAAACCCTAAATCCTACACCCTAAACCCCAAAACTCGAAGCCCAAACAGTCCGAGACTGAGCCCTGGGTTGGGATTGAGTGCTTCTGGGTGGTGGGCTTGATTAGTGTAGAGACCTTATAATGATAAGAATAGGGCGTTGGGGTATATTATCCTATAACCCCCCCCAAAAAAAAAACAAAACAAATAGTATGGGTAATGAACCCTAGGGCTCCAAGTATACAAATAGCACCTACTTTGGGGCACAAAGTCTATAAAAAGTAGGTACTATTGAGACGTCGAGTTTGCAGTCAGGACTGACAAAACGTGCCGCACACAAGCAAATAGATCCCAACTTCTTCCCGCTACTGCCACGACGTACGTCTACATTGCAGGGCAAAAGCAAGAGGCACTTGCAGCACCATAATCTGCTAGAATGAGCCGCACTGGGACAACGCTCGAAATGAACGGGCTCAGGTGCCAGTGCACGTCCATCCCTCTGACGAACTGCCACACTAAGCCTGAATTCGGCATCGTGTTTAACCAGACGCTAAACCCTGACGCGCACAAGCCACAATTCGGACGCAACTGGATCCAGCTGCTTGGGCAAATGCACGATGAGTTTTTACAACAAGCCGCCCAGGTGGACAAAACAAATACCACCAAAGTGAAACCCGACACTTCCCGACTTGCAAATCCCACGGGAAAGAAGTGACTCCTACTTCGCATAGTGGATCCGTGCCTTGCCCGGGCAATGTGACTTTCCCGCTTCTTCCAAAAATGCTCAAGCACGTGCATGGGCACCTGCTCAGGGCGGCAGGTCCCCTAAACCCTAAATAGCCATAAACCCTAAATTCCTAAACCCGAAACCCTAAATTCCTAAACCCCTAAACCCTAAATTCCTAAACCCTAAACTTGGGCTTCAGCATTTACGGACTGGACTTTGAGGCTCAGGGCCATGATCAGGTCAGCAGGGCAGGCGGACGTGAAAATTCCCGCTGAATCCTGGGTTCAGATTTTTAGGGTTCAAAGTTTAGGGTTCAGAGTTCAGGGTTTAGGTTATAGGGTTCAGGGTTTAGGGTTCAGGGCTTTAGGGTTTAGGGTTCAGAGTTTTAGGGTTCAGGGTTCAGGGTTTAGGGTTCGGGGTTTAGGGTTCAAGATCTAGGGTCCAGGGCTAACTCTCTGTGCACAGGCATGTGTGGATACACCTCTGGGCATGTGCAAGAAGAGACGTGCGCATGATACGGGGGGCCTGAATAAGTGATTCTACATTATAGTGACAACGAGGAAACCTAGAACATAACAATGGAAATGTTTGTGGCCTCCATCTAATGTCCAAACAGACATTAGCTGCCCTCCGTAGTTCCAGATGGGTTGGTCGAGCTATGCTTTGCGAGGTTCAGCGGCGGACAGATTTCAGTCTGTGCCCAATAGAATAGATAAGAGACTGAAACCAAGCAAAGCATAGCACACGTCGTGCCCAGATGGGAGGCTGGCCAGCAACGCCGCCAAGATAATGAAACACACGAGTGATGCAATGATATCGACACTGTTGCCTTTCGTTGACGAATGGCTATGTTGAAAATGCTACAAGCACTGCCTATTCTGGTGCTGGCGCTCTTGCAATTAGATAAAGCAAACTCGCCAGAAAGACTATACAAAAGCAACCAGCCTGCTTCCTTCCTAAACGGATAGTCCCTGCCAGATTAATCTTGCGGATTCTTGAGAACTTCACTGCGGATTACTTGTTGAACCTTCGTCTGGGCTATGTCACAAAACTGGGAGTGCCTCGCTCATTTCGGTGAGAATAAGGATCCTGCTGTTTTGAGGTCCCTTCATCGGTCTATTACAGTAGCTCATGCCTGCCTTCTTGATCTAGTATCTGTCTATTCATGCTAGCTGGCATGGCTTCTGTCGTTCGTGCGGCCTAACATATACAAGGGTCAGAACACAGAGGACCATAAGGTTTGTAGTATGATGCTTACTAGAGGCGCCCATAGATAAGGCGCCCCTCCTTGAACAGGAAAACATTTCCAAGTCAGCATCAACTCTGACTGGCCACATTGGGCCCGAATCCCAAACCCTAAACCCTAAACCCTAAACCCCAAACCCCAAACCCCAAACCCTAAACCCTAAACCCCAAACCCCAAACCCTGAAACCTAAACCCTCCCTAAACCCCTAATCCCCAAACCCTAAACCCTTAACCCCAAACCCTAAACCCTAAACCCTAAACACCTAAACCCTAAAACCCGAAACCCCTAGACACCTAAACCCCTAAACACCTAAACACCTAAACCCCTAAACCCTAAACCCCTTAACACCTAAACCCTAAACCCCTAAACACCTAAACCCGAAACCCCAAGACACCTAAACCCTAAACCTACTTTGAACACCAGACCTGGACAAGGAGCGATCGAAAATGCAGGAAGCTTTGGAGTCGAAGCGCCAGGACCCGGAACTCTAGGCCTCTCCCCAGAGACACCAAAAACACCCTTTAATTAAGGAAGGGTTTAGGGTTTAGGGCTTATAGGGGTTAAGGGTTAAGCGTTTATAGGGTTTAGGGTTTAGAGTTTAGGGTTTATAGGGTTTAGGGTTTAGGGTTACTTAAGGAAGACACCTTAAATCATACCAGGGTTCCCGAAACCCCTTAATTAAGCACTGTACCGTATATCATAGCAGGGTTCCCGAAACCCTTTAATTAAGGAGTATACCTTTAAACTACAATAGGAACCCCTAATGTGATTTAAGGTATATATTCCTTAGTTAAGGGGAATTGGAGTCTCTGGGTCCTAGGTAGTATTCGGGAGACCCCCGTAAAGGGGACCCTTCTGAACCCTACTTATGGCGTTCTTGAAAGGGACCTTATTGAGAGGGTCTATATCTATAAGGGTTCTTGTTAAGGGATTTAATTTAATGTACCATAATAAGGAAACCATTTTATTTACTATAGATCTGTATTATGGC